GGTACATATAAAGTATATTATTCAATTGCCTTTCTGTTTAATTCCTTTTTATTTCTGTCCTTCATTCGGGAGGGAGGGAGAGAATGAGAAAATTATAACTGACTTCCAAATTATCATTTTTGAGAGAAATACAACATGTATGGCTTTTTTCCACGTAACCCACACCCACAAGACAGCTGTCGCAAGAACAAAGCTCACCGTAGGTTGAGAATCTGCCTGACCTCTGTAGGGGTCAACCTCCAGGTCAAAGGGCCTGAGTTCTGTCCCCAGTAGTCCATAATCTCCGACACCTGGGTGAATATATATCTTCATGTACCAGTTGCTTTTAGATTTGACGGCATGGGATGGAACTTACATCATAGCCGAGGTAAAAAGGAGATGCAGGTATTGGGAAAAGTTATAAAACTCAGTTTAGAATGTAAGTATGAAATTATTTTATTTCCTGAATTTTGTCGTAGGAGACAATGTTGCTTTCAGGGGTCGCCTGAGTCTGTTAAGTCCATTTCAAAGCAAAAATATTGTAAGTGAATCTGTCACAGACACTGCGGTAATTACACATACCCACAAAACAACCTACAAAAGCCAGCCTTTGAAATGCTAACATATTAAGTCAAGCACTGGATTGTGTCAAGAATCAACTGTCATAATACCATTAGCACATAACACTGGGCAGGTGAAGTAGGAAGCAAAACACGGACCTGGCATCTCAATCACAGCTTTGGGCAATATTTTTTTGAAATTTCTGAGTATTCACATCATGCTCTTGAACTTCAATTTGAATAAAAAATAAAGAAAAGCAAAACTGTATAGACCCTATCCATTTTTCCCCCAAGTGACATAAAACTCAAGATTTCAGGTAAAATTGCAAATTATCCATCCCATGTCCTCTGCACACAGAAATAAACCAATTACCCTTTCCAGATTGAGTACTGTAGCCATCTGCGACAGTCGGGCGAACTTGTCTCGGACTGTCCAGGTGGTCACAGAGGACAGATAGCCCACTAGAACACGCAGCTCTTTGTCAAACTGAAGACCTCCCAGCTGAAACAACAAGATTTAATAAATTAAATAATATGAATAAATAAGTTTATTTATATAGCACTCATCAAACAGTCTCGAAAAGCTTTAAATCTTCACAAGAGTTTACAGGTATTCAAGACGTGCTAAAAGCTAGAATGGCAGAATAAACAAGTGTTTGAACACAAAACATAAAAAAGTTTTGTAATAAACGACATGACAGATTTTAAAAACCTAACCACATGACAAATTGCAAAGAAGACTGACTAACTAGATGACATAACATCTGTACTTTGAGAGAGTCACAACCTACTCTGTTAAAGCCAGTCTTGGTAACAGCTTTCTCCAACTGCTGCGTAATTTCCGCTGATATGGCAGTGGCAAATCTGTCGTAGTTGGACGACGTCATCGCTTCCTGTAAACATATGGAATGGCAATGAGCAAAATACACTTAAGGCACTTTTAACTTTTAAGAACCAAGGCTTGAGGCCATAAAATCCACTTTTAAAAATCACAATAATAAATTACACATTCTTTGATTCCTCATCAAAAGATTAAATGGGACGTTTACATAGGAGGCAAGAGATCTCCAAAGAGCACTCACGGAAATAGCTATCAATATGCACAGATCTGATCTCTCGGTGGATTATCAGCAGTCTAGTAAAATATGAGAATGAATCATTTTGTTTTAGTCTAATGAAACAAGAGTGAAGCATTGGTTGTCTGAGGGAAAACCCCCCACAAATTTAATTCTTTTTTGTAAGAAATACAATAACAGTACAGTAACCTGACCTATAAATTAGAAACAAAATAAAAGAAAGAGGGAGATGAATTACTTTAAAATCAAAACCAGAGTTTGAAAAATTCTTACGGGCCTACAAAAATAATGTTATTTCATAATCTTAACCATCTATTCTTCTTTATCTCATTATCTTCAAACATCATGGGAATCAATTAGTGGACAAGAAAATAAACACAACAAAATGAAATGAGGGGAAAACCCCCAAAAATTTTGCACAATCTGTAACTTACCTTAAATGTGTTGAGTGTTGTGTCCAAGTTGACGATAAAATTCTGTACCCAAGGATCATTAGCTTCATAGTTTGAGAAGTCTTCCTAAAATAAATAAAGGGAAAAGGCTTTGATTTCATAACTACTTAGTCCTTCAGTACATTCACCTTCAAAATAATTCTCCTCGAAATATGACAAGTTCTTCCTTCCTCAAACATCCTGCCTGATTTCAGGACATAACAATGTCTGAATTGGTACAGTTTTCAAGAAACAACAGCTGTATTACAAAAAGTAACAGTCAATCTAGTTCACATTTGTGCTAAGTGGTATGAAAGCGCTGTTTGCAGTTTGTCTTTTCTTACTTCTCTGGCACTTTGTTTTTCAAGCTGGGAACTAAATGGTCATCATAGTATGGACAATGATATTGATGGAAAGGGGGAGGGAGGGCATAAAATATTTACAAACAGTTGGGACCACTAACCTCTGTGATATGGTGGCTGGTGGAGAGGAAGGTGTCCACTAACGGTTTGATCCGAGGCTTGACGGCACTCGTGGCTAAGTGGCTGAAGCCAAAGTCCACAATGTCCTTGAACTTGCTGGAGACCGTTATTACATCTCCTAAACAGCTCTGGAGGGAGAGAGGAAAAGTGAATGTAGAGAAAGAAGGAAACAAAAAGTTTTAACAAAACATTGACTGTCAGTTGCAAACTTTAACTAATAGATGTGTGCCATAAGCTCAGTTGGCATCTTGCTGAGCAATGGGGTGGATAACCTTGGTTCAAATCCCTAATATACATTCCTGAACTTGTACTGGCGGTGGAAATTTGAAGTCTCTTCACTTAGTCAAACCTATCCGAGATAGAATTTCCCTTTGGAGGTCCCATTTTTTAACTAACCTTACATTGTTGACAGAGGCTATAGCATGCCATCTCACAGGGGCAGCACCACCTGATTTGGGGTCACAGAGATTTAAGCAATATGTGATACACTGATCTTTCGACTTAACAACCTTGTCATGTGCTCTTGAACATCAAAAGAAAAGCGAATCATTTTTCTAAAACCCCACTGACTTCCGCCATGCCATTAACAACAAGTGCAGCTACTGCGGATGAAAAAACAACAACACAATATCGCTCATCTTCCCAGTTTGACTAGGCAGCCACTAGATATGTCCATTAACTCACCTCCAATTTTGCTTTGCTCTGCTCTGTGTATTGCGACTGTAGCTTAACAATGTCCTCCTGAAAAGCAAAAAAGATGTATGATGATAGCACATTTTAATTTTTTTTTGGGGGGGGGGGGGGGGGGGGGGGGGTGCTGTTGCTTTTGAAGTTACCGCCAATCCAGAAATACCTGGTCTTTTGCCCTTTGGTACAATGCTTTGAAGTGGTAAGTGCATATTTTTCTCTATCTGCTAAACTGTTGCATAGTATGTATTCTCAGTGTCTGGTCCAGGTAGCCTGAATGTTATCCAGTGCTGAGCAGAGAAACAGATTGTGTTTTACTGTCTCATATGGATGGTAACATGAACAACTTTTAAAAAAAATTGCACCCCCCCCAAAAAAAAAGTAAATTAAAAAAATTTTCAACTTGAGAGGAATGTAACATGGCTTCAATGCTCAATTGTGTCACGACGCAGTGGAATTAGGTGCTCATCAATTTTTGGGTATACCGGGTTATTGGTATCATCTTAAAGGTTGTTCATTTGCCTTGTTTAGGTGAAAAAATATCCATTTATCTTCAATAAAAGTCGAGATATTTGCGACTGAAGGAGGTGGGGTTTCCTGGTTTCAAAAGTAAAATTAGTGAGAAAATGGCCGTCAACGTTTGGTAACTTCTAGAGCTTAAGTAAGAGTCCTTGGAAACTGCAAATTTACCTTTTTCGTGGCTTTAAAATATCTTTCGGTAAAATCCAACACATGAAAGTGATTTTGAATAGACATACAAGGAGTTGAGCCAAAAAACAAAAATTCGAAAAAAAAATTATAAACTGACCAAAAAATGCTGATTTCTTGGATTTAATTATTTTAACGAGCGCCTGATTTCACCACGACGTCTCACAATTTATAATACTTTTTTATCTGTGTAAAGAATATTAAACTTGTGAAAAAAGCATTGAAGTGTCAGTTGGGCTTTGAAAATAAAAGCCCTTTATCAAGTAATGGAACTAAAGTAGATCTTTTATTATGATGAAAAGATTTACTTACCTCAAGGCTGCTTTTCAAAGCTTTACAATAATCACAGCTAACTTCAGCATTGTTCAATGATGTCTGAAAAAGAAAACGTTAAGCACCATTTTAAGAATTTGCTTTACAATTTGATTCCTTGGGCTATAAAACAGATTGCAGTCTCAAAAAGTAAAGAAGAACATCGAAAGCAAGCCATGCCAAAGATGAAGACCAACGACAGCATCAGACCCATGAAGCTTATTGAACATTTTCATATTCTGAACAAGCGAAACAAGTAAGAACACATTTGCCCAGAATGTATTGAACAATAGACAACACCAAGTCTTAACCAACAAAAAAAGAAAACAGAAAGTTTGGCAACAGAGGACTGCAGACTCAGGCCTTTTTGAGGAGGACGCAGAGGTACAAGCAATATAGAGGAAGAAGCAGATGTGAAGTTAACTCCTCACAGTTCACATTATTGAAGGATGTGGCTTGTTTTACATGGCTCTGCAGTCAGTGGTTCATGTTCACCCTAAAATCCCCAACCGTAAGTCCCACTACACACAAATAGGTCATGTTGAAAGCTAAGCACTTGACCCTGAGGTTTGAGTGAAGAAGATAGAAGAAAGAAAGAAAGAAAGAAGGTGAGGACAAAATGAAAGTTTCACATGCGCAATCTGAGCGTAGACACAAATGGGTGACATTTCACTATCAAAGGAGCTGCACTCCCCATGCTAGTGTGAGTTAGGCCTGTTTATTACTCTTCGACCTCTGACACATGGGAAACAAACCACAAAAAAAAAGGGGGGGGGGTGGGAGGGAAGAGGAAGGAAGGGAGGGAGGGACATGGGCGATGATGTACAGTTTACATCAGAAGAAGTCAATGACAAAACATTACAACGTCTGGTTCCCCAAAACTCACCACAAACATGGCACGGGCTTGCTTTTTCTCCGAGTCGGAGCTCTGCAGTTTCCCGTGCTGGAAACTCGACTGTACAATGTTGTAAGCATGTTGGAGGTCAAAGCCGTAGGGGTAGCCTGCTCGCAGTCGAGTCATCAGCACCTCACCAAAGTTCTCCTCCAAGATGGAACACGCATGGTTCAACATTGCACACACACCATCGACGCTCGAACTGGACACTGCACGCCTGGAAGTCAAGAGGAGAAATAAATGTTTTTGTTCTTCTTTACTTTCACAATTTCACATTTGTGAGGTGTGCTGACAAAATGAGTTACAACTCACAATTCAAAAATGGAAATATCGGCCGAAAATTGACACAGGTGTCAGATTTATTGATTTTTAATTGATGCAATTTTGTTCAAGTTAGCCATGTCTTTTATTATTCCATTCCTATAAATTGTACAAACTCCACCTATAAAATTGATGCATCAACTTCCACATGACTAAAATCGGAGAAGTAACTCATTTTGTCAATACACCTCACATTTGACTAGCCTATTAAGAATCAGGTTCGTGTGTGTTTGTTAGTGTGTTAGTGTGTGTGTGTTAGTGTGTGTGTGTGTGTGTGTGTGGGTGTGTGTGTGTGTGTGTGTGATCAACCATTTGGATGCCGATGGAGGAACACATGCTTAAGCAGTTTACCCTGTCAGAAAAAAATATATATTAATCTTGATATATCGGTACAAAAGTACAAATCAAATGGCAGTACTCAGTTCTACTGGAATAACTTTGTCCATCACTTTTTGGTAAAAAGAAAAAGTACTTTCTGTATTACAAAGCTTCATTTAAATCACATTATTCAGAAAGTTACAAAATCATGTTAGAGACATAAAAACTTCCTTGACCTCATATTCTAAGACAACCCAGAAACTTAAAGTAACACTGAATAATGAAAGTTGTTACAGACACATTTATGATCATCTCGCGAGATAAAGCAAAAGTAGCAGAAAACATACCTGACAGATTTTTTGACGATGAAAAACGTGTCATCAACCATGCTGGATGTATGCTGACCTTCCTCTAACGCATCCATGCTCACGGCCTGCAAGGAGCAGTAACACAAAAACAACAAACTGTTTTATCTTTTTAAAAAAAAAGGTACACTTTTCACGCTCCCATTGACACTACTTCGATCATTTAGGAGATGGGCTTCGACCTTGTCTGACAGGGCCAAACCATGCTGAGAGAGATCATTGTCATCATAGAAAGACCGAGATACTCAATATAAATTCTCCCCACTAGGGGAATCAAGCTCAGCTCTTCTGTGTGTGATGGTGAGCAGTCTAGCAGTTACACTATCAATGCCAGTTTGATCCGAGTTCCTTGAAACATCACTGTGTGATTGTTGAGCCCCCAGCTTTCATTTGACTGGTCTGGGCCTCAGAGTCCTCCTCCCAGGTTACCCACTATCAATTATTTCAACACAACACATTTCCTTTCAACATGACGTCCCACCCCATCCCACAGTATCAAAATCCCATACAAATTAAGAGAGACGAATCACACAATGTTCAGTGATTTTCATGTGGAAGAATATATTATAGACACGAATTTATAAAGAAAGTGGTTGTAAGCAAAATTTCTAGCTAACAGGCAAGCAGCTCCACTGAAAGCTGTCAAAAGGAACAAATTTCAACGTGCAGTATCATGGTTACCTTTTTCAGTAGTAGGATTCTTCGTACATGAACACAGGGTTCAGATTGTTGTATATACTTTAAGCAAAACTGATCTAAGCCACCTCCATTAAAACCTGAACAAATAGAATTAAGGCCACATATCATTGGTTACATAAAGATAAAGTATAAAGTTTATTTCTAAAAATAAAGCAGGAAATTATAATTTTCAGAGGGACGGGACCGACCTTAATGATCATCTCCTTCATGAAGTACTCCTCAGACATGATGTAGTTGCCGATCACCTCCTGCACCATCCTGTTCAGCTCACAAGAAGAGAAGAAGCGGTCCACTTCCTGCACATCACCTGAACACACAAATTGTTGGCTTGATTATTGACTCAGTTGCAGGCTTGTTTATCAACTCAAGTGTTGGAGTTAGAGAGAAACACATAGACAAAGTCATAGACATTAAAGAAAAGTAAAGACAATACAGTAATCTCAAGCCAATAGCATGCTGGATAACAGCATGATCCACCTTAAAGCACCCGGACAGGATGGAACAGGATTTTTTCTTTATAATTATCACCCGTAAGTGCCCATTCCAAATCGACCACCCAATCTAATAACATGATCGTTTCTAAACAATTAACAGAAACAGAGCAGCCATAAAATACTCCTTTCGCCGGGAACTATTGAAAGTGTAGCAGACACCATATACCCTCTTGTGCTTGAAATTACGGCTTTACCAGTGAGAAAAAGATGTGTAGGGACAGGTGTAAGACAGAATTAGGTAATGAGGAAAAGTAGTGACAGGCCATACGAGGCAAGCAGACTGTGTCAGAGGGTAGTGCCTCTGCTGTAATTATGATGGTTGTTGTCTGACTGCTTGGCAAACTAGGAAAACTTCATGTCTCAGGATGAGCTCGGCTCAATGACGCAACCTATCACAGGAGATCAGATGCCAGATGGTTAACAACAATCAGTGAAATTCGACAAACCATTAACTCAGTTGCCTTATGAATTGTAAGTTAAAAAAACGTTAAATAAGATAAACTCTAATTGTATGCTTTTAAATTTGAACATACTTCTTGATCATTTTTTGGCGTTGAAAAAAGATCAGAATTTTGTGTATTAATGTGACCTCATCTTGAGCAAAGTCCATGGTTATAGGACAAATGGGGAGGCTTACCTTTGTCTCCGCCTTCGCTGGTCTGGCTAGCTTCAATATCATTCTGAGGGATGAGAGCAAATCATGAGATTAATGAAAGAACTCACTGTTCCACATCATCTACAACAAAACAGATGCCTTGTCAAATAAAGAGAATCTGATCTGGACAACAAAGTTCATTAAGCATGGGATGCAAGTGAACAGACAGGCACAGGCATCAGAAGGATCGGACACTTGTAGGACAAGCAAGTGATGCAAAAAAAAAGTTCATTGGAACTCAAGAGGTTATTGTCAGAGATAAACCACATAACGATTCAACCAAAACATTGAGTGAGACATGATAAAATATTGGAGATTTGCTTACTTGGGTTGAACAGATGCAAGCTGACACAATAACAGATACTAAGAGCTGGTGCCAGGGACGATAACAATCATATGTTATTCGGGAAATAGACATTAATGGGGAAAAAAACATCAGGCTATATTTTTCAGCTTTGCCATAAAAATGGAGACAAAAAAAGCAAACATAAAAAAACCCAAACATGCCAATGGAAACAACACATATATCCCCCCGCCCCCCCAAGTTCACACTAGTCTGTCACCACACAACAAGCACGCCCACGATGTCTGGTAAAAAGTTACTGGGCTATGAACTCAAAACTGACCGTTGCTCTGCGGCGCATGAAGCGTAGATAGAGCTCCGAGCGGCTGGACAAGAGCACCATCTCAGACAACAACACATCCAGCTCCTTTGGGTCAAGCCTGGACACAAGGGGGGGGGGAGGGGGGGGGGGGAGGAGATATTATTCAATATTGAGGGGCGAAATATTACATGAGGACGAATGAGGCATTAACTTTCTCAAGTGTATTTATTCTTTTAGTAATCTTTAAAACTGTTCCAGATTGAAAAGTATAAATGTCTTAAGTTCATTTCAAAGTGCAATAACAGAAATTCATACATTCGCAGACTTTTCACAGATGTATTCCACAGCACCCACTTGCACACAATCACAATGTAAAACAGATGGCCACAATATGAGAAACACTCTACATGCCACTGAAAATAAAAAAATTTAAACACACCCATACTTTAAAAAATGGATGCCATCACATAAGCTATAATCATTATCTAGTTATCTAGCAAGATGATCAGTATAACATTTTTACTCTTGAAGTATTCTTATACCAATAAAACAAAGTAAGAATGGAAAGTTCTTTCTATAATACCATTAACAGTCTTGTTCTAAGGTAATTTTCTTCCACACTACTAAATAGAACTATCTAAATAGCCTAAAGCTGTTAAGGTGTGTTCCAAAGTCAACACGAAGATTCTAAAACACAACACTAATGAAATATAGAACTTCGTAAAGATCTAAATCGGTCAGAAAAATAATATTTTGAGGTTTCTCAATTTAGTGTCAGAAAGGGTCACAAAGACTTTTTATCTGAAAGAAAAAACCCAACAAACAACAAAAAACACTAACAGGTATAGATCTCTCCTCAATTCATTATTGGTAAAGTATCAACAAAATCTAAAAAACATTTAAAATGTCAAAATTGAATATCCAACAAAGATACCAACTTATACCTTTCAACAGCTGGCCTCTGGGTAGTCAAGTTCTGCCTGACCTGCTTCATCTGTTGAATGAAATAAAGAAAAGAATTTAGAAACTGAGGCAATATCCTTCCATGCAGCAAACTGACAGTAGAAGACACATTTTTTTCTTATTTTCATCTGCTCCCAATAAAATCTTGCTCAAACAATGTCTCCATATTAGAGAACAGTCTAATAAGCACATAGTCAAATCAGTGGGATGTGGAAATCTTTTTTTTATGTACAAATGAAAGGGTGGAATAAAATTGGGCAATTTGTTCAAACTTTTACATGAATTCTGCCCTCTACACCACGCAAACGAGCATGTGCACGCTGGGTTCATAGTCACTTAAATTTGCAGGTTTTGGATTTTGACATTGATTTTTCATTCACCTCCTCTAAGATCCCCCCCTTTTTTCTAAACTGAGAAGCCTTCTTTACAAGAATTTCACCAAGTCCTAACTTTGAAGAAGGTCGGCAAGCTGTTGCGTGGTGTGTAATCTCTTTGAAACAGGATGTGTGGTGACATAATTGTGGCGATAACTGAAGTGTGAAGCATAGACCTACCTCTGAACACTTCTGTGATGCATGCAATAAACATGTTCATGGCCTACACTAATGCCCTTGGCTAAAAGAGAGTTCATCGACCTACACTCAGACCACACTCTTTCTTTCCCTCCCTTCATGACTATTTCTGTACACAAAATTAGCGGTTGTGTTTAATTACATCTAATTTTCTCCAAGAGATCCAAATGCCTCATCTTTGAAATGGCTCACAAAATTTTAATAAGGTATACAATTTTGAATGATAAAAAAGAAACAACCCAAAAACACAACTCTAGCACTGACCTTGGCCTGATAGCCTCTGTGATTTTTGAAATTCTCAAACACCTTTCTCGCCTGTCGGTCACACTCATTCTGCAGGATCTGGAGGAAGAGGAACAGCTTCCCAGGACCTAGGGGATGAGGGGAAGAAGAGAAAACAAATAATCCCATCTCAGTTAACTTCCATTTAATGACTTACAGTTTTTGTGTATAACATCAATATGTCACAGCTTTGCATTCCTCTGTAACTCAAGACCAACTTCTTTACGTCAGAAACATTTAGGACCACATAACTATATGATCACAACATAGCACCACAAAATATAGCTTAGCTTTAGAGCTTCACTGACCCTGTAGAAGGTGCTTAGCAGTCCGCTAAGAGCAGAAAAGAGTGTGTAAATGCATGACCAACATTTTTCTCACCAACTAAGGCTGTTGCTAAAGCATCAGGCTTCCTTATTCAGTCTATTCACTAAGTCAACAATGTCCCCCCCCCCCCCCCCCCCCAAATCAATCCATCACTATATTAAGGTTAACTCCACCATGTCATCATTGTACCCAAGTCAAGTCAACATCCTCCCTTCCATCTTTAATCAGCCCATCAAAGTCACCTCTCCCATCAGTCCATCACCGTATCTACATGTTGTTGTCGTTGTTTTCAAATCCCTTTAGCTGCGAGCATTTCGCTCTTGGCAGCGCAATGCCTCCCTCAAGTCCGTATCTGTTCTAGATAAACTCGTTTGTCAGTCCATCACCGGCCTAAACCTCAGAGCAGCTTACCATAGTATGTCTCGACGAGGGGCTGGTGGATCTCAACAGCACGAGCAATACTCTCAAACAATAGTGTCAACGTGTCTGCGAACATGACGTGGGCTCTTTTATCGGTGGAGTCTGGGTGCAGAGCAATCTTCAGGTTCCCGTCTGCCTTCTCAGACAACTGCAGAGAAAGTGGGTCTGATCACTTTAACTCTTTGAAGACGCCGTGTCAGTGGATAATCCGCTGACGATTTTAAATGTGTTTATTTGCTTAACTATTGGTCTAAGGTGGACAACCCCATTATCACTGGAAAGCTTGTCCCACAGCCCTATAATTTGGTGGATTTTCTTTATTTGCTTTTGAATTAGGATAGCTTTGCATGGCATTTGTTTTAGGCCAATAGTTTCCATCAAAATGTAGCAGTTTCTATCCAAAATGGCGAGCTCCAGGCGATGTGGTTTGATGCGGACTGAAGAAGCTTTGGAGTGTTTTATGGATGATGGTAGTGATGAGGAGTTGAAGAGTTAGAAGAAAAAAGTACAGATGATAGTCCATTGGTTGGTAGATCTAGATCTACTTGACCCCCCAAGTCTCGTCAGAATTCTTTTTCTTTTGAAGGCAACTATAGTAATCTTGCAGCCTTGACCAAGGTAAGACTGGTATTGTGAATGTATGATTGATTGTTATTAGAGAAAAATAGAGGAATTGCACTTTTTAGTGGTATTAGTGTGATTTTTGTACTGTTGAAAGGAAAAAAAATAGTGACCTGATAAAAAAGGGCAAAGAAGGTGCATCACGGGGTATCGAGAAAGGGACAAAGAGCGTGTCTTCAAAGAGTTGAAAAGATTAAACTAACTTAGAATAATTTCGCTTTTCACTTTTCTTTTATTAGAGGAAACAATTTTCCCCAACACCAAATACAAAGAAGAGTTGAAAAAACAGTCATGATGAATAAGAAAAATTTTAAGATAAGAAATGTATCACCAATAAAATTTTTTTTTCTATAACCGTGTTGCGAGCATAGTGTATAAGTCCAAGCTATAAAGGGACACAGAGCGCAGCGTCAGAAAGAGAATAAGTAGAAGCAGTAATAGCTTGTAAGATCTTTCAATTCACTTTTCTGCACTTTCAAATTACAAACTAATTTTCAAAAAGTTATTAGAAAAACCCAAGTGCAAGTGGTATAAAATACACAATCCACTAACTAAAAAAAAAATTACACAGAGTAAACTGACGATGAACTTTCGATGCAAGCTGTAATAAACAACTCAAACCACTTAATATTTAAAGTAAATCTTTTCTTCAGCTTACCTGAGCAGCAAGATATTTGCCAAATTTCGTGAGTCCCTCTGAGTATAGCCCCAGCAAGGGGAAAATTTTGAAGAATCTTTCCACAGAGGCCACATCGCCCTGGTGCACAGCTGCATCAAATTTGTTGTGCACAATCGATTTGAGTTTTTCCTCAGCCTCGTACAGCATTTTGAACGATGTGTTCAGTGTGCCTCCTGAAGGGGGTCAAAAACAGAGAAAAGAAAGAGTTAGAAAAGGCACTAAGCTAGTGCTGGACAGACTTGTAAACTATTATGTCCTGGTACCAGAACAAACAGAGCAGGTTTAAGTGGCTGAAACATTAAGAAAGTACAAGTAAAGGTAACTGGTCCCAAAAAAGAAGTTTTTAATTTGTATTTTTATTAATCTATGGTATCGATTGCATGCTCATGAAACATTTTGTCGAAATTCACATACTAACAGTTGAAAAATGCAAGGAAAGATACATAATGACAGTACAATTTTTAAAGGAACTGAAACAAGCAAGCAGCACGCTCCTCAGTTACTCTGTTATGGGGGGCGGGTGATTATGTCTAGCTTAAGACATTCTGCGGCAGTCACTTATCCAAAATCTATTTGGTACTTAACACTAACCATAATTTGCTAGACCTTCCAAACATGACACACAGCTTGCAAAAGTCTTACATTATTAACACACTCATCTACACAAACAGCTGTTTTAGTGATCACGAATAAAGCGTTCTTTAGAGATTTTGTTGAAAATGTTTGCTTTAAACACTAATCCAAGGTGACTTGAACCATTGAGGAGGCAAGCTGTCTTTCAGTCTGCCTTTCAGGATCATCCAAGGCTATGCAGGGTACATCCAATTTCAGAGAAGGAGACACTCTTGAAACATCTTTTGTATGGTGTGATAAATTGAATTCACACTTTTGGCATACCAGGAGAAGTATAAAATGACTTCACCATAGACACTGACAAAAGGGGCTCAAACCAGTCCCAGTGTACAGTACACTGATAGAGGGCACCTCACTGGATGACCATTGATGGGGCATGTGAATTAGTTGCACTTTATTTTCTTATGTGTTATAATGTATGCTGGGAATGTGTGCAATAACCATTTTAAACCAAACAAAAGACTTCCAGACAGCTATCCAGATAGACACCATCCTCTAGCCCCACGGCTAAATACAATGGAAGAGTATCAAATTCAAACTTTACAAAATTGTTTTAATAAGCGTTTTATGGTACTTGCAACAAAATTAGTTCATAAAAAAGCTGAAGAATAGAGGTGTTACAAGAGAGAAACAGGCATGAAAAAAGGTGATAGTTGTTTGATAGGAAAGAAGGAGCAAACCACACAAGAGCACCCGCCAACCACAAATTCAGACTTCAATCATGTTAAAACAGCAAGAAACTGAATAATTACATATAATTAAAATGTTTAAATAAATCTTTGTACAAGTATGGCTTCACTACCTTCAGTGGTCTCTGCACTCATACGAATCACTGTTTCATCCAAGCTACGGAATCTGTGAATGTGCCCAGCAGCCTGGAGATAGCAAATACAGTAACTAAATATCGCTCATTTCAGAAAGAATGCAAATTCTTGTATTGTAATTCTAAGCAAAGTAAAAAGTTGCCAGACTCAAAACAAAAACTATCAACAACATATTGAAGCTTCATTGAATAGAAACACACTCCTTGTTTTAGTGGGTGTTTTACTACACTAGCAACACAATAAGTTCATAAACTACCGAACATTATAGGTGTTACAGGAGAGTAACAAACCCATAAAAGAAGAAGAGATAAGGATGATAGACGCTAGATAGAAATGGGGGAGAAAACCACACCAGACCACCCACCAACCACCGAAGCACCCCTGAAAAGAAGATATAGCTTACTGACCCAATAAAAAGAATTTTGATACTCAATATACCAACATGTTGCAACAATAAAAACAAGACTATGAAAATAGTAAAACATTACTGACCCCAAGAGCAGGTGAAGTGACAACGTCAGGCACCTAATAGAACATTACATTCTATTAAAATCTTTCCCACAAATATTTTGTTCACAAATCATGCTGAGATTATATAAAATAAACAGTAAGTCAACTTAATTAAGCTCACAGTCCTTCAAAGAGAGCTAAGCTAGGATGTAATACTTACTTTTTCATAATCCTCATTCTGGAGAGCTGTCTGGACACCATCAATGCAAAACTTAAGATCTAGAATATCTTCCACTCTCTGCATGCACTCTACAACACGACTCTGTGGGGAGAAGACAAAGAGCTTTCTGTTGGTAGCAATACTTCATCACATGAGGGAATTACTAATGCTGAACATCTCAACCTAGGAATGCCAGTGAGTAGTGGCTACACACTTTTGATTTCAAACAGAGTATGACATTTGCCTCTTTGGTAAACCCACTTTACTCTAGTTTCCTCATTCTGCCCAACAGAGAACTATCCTCCACTACCTGCAATACTGTTCTAGCCGCACTCTAGACATCAAAAGTTTAAAAGATAGTATGTGACATAGTTCATTTTTATTTAGAAAAGCTTTAACTTATTCTCTCTGCAAAATTAGTGAACTTTATAGTGTGGAGAAGCTGCACTAAAACAAAAAAGGACTGACCTTGGCAAGATCAAGCTTTCTGACTTTGCTGCTCACATTCTCTGCCAGTGTCGATGTGAATGAGATCATTCCACATAGCTGTTTTGAGTCTGTCTCCAGGATTTGGAGATTTGGTCTGAGAAAAAAAGGACAAAGCGATAGCATCTTGTACTAACCATGAACTTACAATATTTCCTCTTACTTCATATGTTGTTGAACTGCAATTCAAATTCATAACATCACTTAGCTTTCATTTTCAATTAGAGGGAGGAGGCAAACAATAAAGAATAAAAAAAATAATTGATAAATCTACGTAAAGAGTCCTTCCACTGAGTTAGAAAGATGAAAAAAAAGAAAGAAAAAATACTATTTGTGAAACAAACACACTTGGTTTACCCAAACTGATCATTTGAACATTCAAATTTGTAATAAAAATATTCATTAATAGTTTCTTTAAATTTGAAATTTGCACCAACTAACCAGTGTGTAAAAAGAACACCATCACCATCTAGATAAAAGTGCACTAATACTCACAGCATCTTTTGTAAGCCTGACATTTTGCTTTCAAGAATCCCTTGATGGTCAAGAAGATTCTTGAGCTCATCATCCACCACTTTCTGTCAAGAATAGCAAAATGGAGCATTTCATAAATAAAAGAAGAGGATGGCTACTTCAAGAATTTTAACACAAGCACTTAATAACTTAACTTAACCATGATGCTTCAACTCTGAGTTGGAATTTGGCTTGATATGGTTTAAGATTTTTAGAACTGCTTCACAGGCTAAAAGGTAGCAGAAAAAATTAGACTGTTCTAAACATTTTCAGTCTTCTTCCAATAAACTATTTTTATATTTATAATATAAGCATCAGACACTAAAGTACTTTTGTCTTCAAATGTATTTTAAAAAGTCCAAATGTGACAATATTATGACAATAGAGTATTTGAGTAACTTTTAACATCACAGAAAGAAATGTGGAACATATCTGAGCTCCCAGAATTTGAAGACAAAAGCACTGTAAGGAAAAAATGCATCATGATACACAAAGCATTCAGTGCAGCAAAAAAGCTAGGTTTGGTTATGAGTGGTACAAAGAAAACCCCTAGCCAAGTTGCAGGTTCTAATCCTCATTACAGTCAGAACATTGCAGACTTGTTCAAAAGGGAAATCAAAAGAAGAACACTAGTTTACAATACCAAATAGTGGGGTCTATAGAACACGAAAGCCCACACTTAAAAACCTGGTCCACCTATGAGGAGGCTGTAACGGCGTAAAAGAGTTTTTTGCCCTACAATATGCCGAACTCACTTGAGCCTGAGCTATTTTTCACCCAACAACCATTACAGCCTGACACTTTTGGGGTATATTGAAGGGTTTAACACAAAAAGACTGAAAGCTATTATATTTTTAAAAATGCAAGTTCCAGAAAAAGAAAGAAATATGCTCCAAAAAAAAAAGAAGAGAACTGTATCGAATTTGTCCAAATAGTTTTTATTCTACTATTAAATTAATATTTTGAAATGGCAATGTCTGGGGATTGCGCAATCCCCCCCCCCCCCCCCCAAATTATAATAAAAATCATCTATTGCAATGCAGGGGTGACCGATTTAGTCCGTTACAAGTTACAGCTAAAAAAAAGTATCATATAATATATATATATATATAACCTCACCAAATTTTTGACAAAACGAAACAAGTGGGTCAGCTGTTGGCTCACCACTTCTGGTAACATAGCTTGTAACCGAAAAACACAGAAAATATAGATCAATAAAGCCTTAAATAAACAGGATTAGGCCACCGGGCCAGCGGGGCGTCCCATAAATACACGAGAATAGGCTCAAGTGAGTTAAGAAACTGCTTTCAGAAAAAAAACATGCGGACTAGACAGTGTGGCAAAGAAAACCCTCTGCCATCCTCCTCCACTTTTTGATTATCAACACAGCACTATTCATTTTCAAGCATCCGTGTCTCTATAAATTCAGAAGGCTTGGAAGAAACGATGTGATGCCTTCCAAACCTGTAACTTACACCAGCAGGAGGGTTTTTAATAACTGCCAGTCTAGCCGTACTTATCTTAGGCCCTATAACATAATTAGAAAACAGGAGGTTTAAAGGCCACCTCTATTCTCACCCGGAGTGAGAATAGTGCAGGCGAGTCTTGTGGCTATTCTCACCCGGTGCGCGTTCACCCTAAACCACAGAATTCTACACTGTGATAACAGAAAAATTGTAGAATTTTGTGCCGTGAACAAACGTTCCATTACAACTGTAGCCTACTAAAAGCGTACAATTTTGTCTGTGGGCAGTGGAGAGAGAGAGAGAAAGAGAGAGAGGAGTAGTGCGAGAATTTCCGGGCAAAACAAAATGGCGACCCGCGTAGTTCGGCTCGATTCGAAAAGTTAAATAGCCGTAGCATCTTTGTAGACAACCAAATTAATTTACTTTTGTGTTTTAACATCATATTTTAACTTTGTTTTGGTCAATTTGATCGTCCACACCGATAGACAGTATTCAGAAAGAGACAGAGAGAGAGAGAAGAGGGGAGGAGTTGATCTTGCGAGAACTTCCGGGCGGGTGAGAATAGCCACTTTCAGGTTTAAAATATGGGAGTGTATACAGACCCGGTAACCGGGAACAAAGTCACAAAGTATACAGACCCGGTAGGGGAACTCTTTTGTGATTTCGGAAAGTTTCAGCGCCTGTTGGCTCAGGGAAGACCTAGGTCTTCTAGATCTATGGCCCAGGTCTAGATCTAGATCGACAGACATTATAAATCATTGATCTAGTTTCGAGGCTAGCCTAGATCTAGATCTAGATCATGTAGATTAGATCTAGATCTAAATGAAGATTGCGGATGTCTTTTCGATGAACGATTGTTTTTCCTCCGTTTTGGAGTTGGAGGAATCACAATTTGAAGAAAAGAACAATGTCATAATTTCAATCGAGCAGTCACCCTCTCTATTTCTCTGCCTCTCTCTCTGTGTGTGTGTGTGTGTGTGTGTGTGTGTGTGTGTATCGCTCGCATTCTCTTTTTTTTTGTTTGTCTCCGTCTTTCTTTCTCTCCACCTATTTCCCACTCTATCTTTCTCTCGTTCCCTCCTACCAACTCGGGGCATGTTATCACATTTTGCTAACACTTCTCTCCCCTCTCTCTCTCTCTCTCTCTCACACACACACACACACACGACCGGGTCTGGGCGCTGAAACTTTCCGAAATCACAAAAGAGTTCCCCTACCGGGTCTGTATACTTCGTGACTTGGTTCCCGGTTACCGGGTCTGTATACACTTCATGACTTGGTTCCCGGTTACCGGGTCTGTATACACTTCGTTAAAATATACACTGTCATTAAGGCTAAGGCACCTGGTTTCGTCTCAAATACAAATACTTTAGGTACTGCACACTAAAAATGTATATTTTTACAATTCAGTAGGCCTATTTTTTGTAAATGGTCAGTCTAGCCATCATATTAAGAATAAGTACGGCTAGACTGTGAGTCTAGGGCCCGTACTTAAGTACGGCTAGACTGCCAGTCTAGCCGTCATTAAGTACGGCTAGCCTCTTCCATAAAATAAACTAACTAGAATCTAGATCTAGATCTAGAATCTAGATCTAGATCTATGTAGAAAAGAAGGCGCTTTTTCGGTAGTTCCCACCTCGCAATTGTTATTCTCGCGGGTTTTGGCCCCAAGAGTAGGGGGGGGGGGGTTCTTGCCCCCCTGATTTTACCATAATTTGATGTTTTGCAGTTGATAGATCTAGATTCTAGATCTAGGTGAGATATATCTTAGCTCGTCATCGCGCATCAAATGTATCGATCTAGATCTAGATGTAGGGGGGGGGGGGGGGGGGGGGGGGGGGGGGAACTACCGAAAAAGCATCGAAAAGAAGTGAAGGCTAGACAAAAATCTAGTCTGTACTGTAGACTACTGTACTGTACTGTGTGTACTGTGAGTGTAGAGTTTCTAAAGAAAATTGTGTCGAGGGACAACTTGACTTCAGTGAGGAGGAGGTTTATTTCTCCAGCAAACCGCATTAATAACATGTACATGCCTCTTCCTCGCATATTTTCTCGAATGCAGCATTTATGTCATCTAATTCCGTCAAATTATCCATATTTAAGTTTGAGGAACTTTGTAAGTACGTGGCGGTTGGAAATGCAACACAGCACAGCAGTGCCCAAACGGACGGACGACTGTAGAAACTGCCGGCTGCTTCCGTAAACAATTTGATAGCTCTACTTCGATATCCAGAGGTATTCGGATACCGATGTATTTGTTTGACTACAAGTAATATATTTTTGGTTGTTGAAAATAATTATTGAAATTTCAGGAAAATTCAAGATGAACAAAATAATAGTAGCATAATAATAATTTCCGATAGAAAGCTGGACCTTGAAAACACCCAGATGACTTCATATTAATGCTGTTCATACAAATCTTTCGAATGCCCTGTGTGGAAATTATCGAACCCCCCAATTCCTCATCTGTTTTCCACATCATCGTGGCGATACACAATCTGCATTTTGCCATCCCATCACAGCTGCTTCGTTGCTGCTGCACTGCGGAAGAATGCTACGAACGAACTAAACAAATAAACCTGTTAGCATACACTGAAGTGACGTTCCCTCGCTTTTATGTTTACAGTGAAGAATGAATATCAAGCTATAAGTATAAGGGCATGAATATATCGCTCTTTCTTTCATTACCTGCCTGAGCGGATGGAGTAAAGAATGGTATGTTGACATGATGATCAAAATCGCCGATCAAATTGTTGTGTGTTGTGTGTGAAGTACAGTCTCTAAATTAAATCAGTTCAGTGAGTTCAATAACTGGGATTTGGGATGCCCCTTTTTTAAGTACCTACTCACCTTTTTGAACATTACACCAACCAGATATAGAATCAAGAATTAGATTTGCTTTACTTGATGGTTCCGCCTTCATTGTTATTGATCACCCCCACCGTAGACTCTTAGTCTGTAGAAGACTCTCACTGCCTTGCCTAGAACTCTGACATAGCCTTGCCTATCGCTAAGTATGCTACGGTATCTAGATTCTAGAATCTAGATCTAGGCCCCTCTGTCCCTAAAATGTCTGCATAGCCATTACATTGCACAAATGGAGGATGATTTTTTTTTTCTAGATCTAGATCTACTAGATTCTATGTGATTTTCCCATCTGAGTGAATGCTTTCCTTTTTAAACTCTTATCATGATACGGACCTTTATCATAATGATCCTTACATCTTGTTTGTTTGTTTAGTACAGGGTTTTATGGCGCTTACAACTGCATAAGGTCATATATATGAGCGTGCGAAACAAGTTAGTTAAATTGTTCACGATCCTTACACCTGCCTTGATGTCATACTTTTTTGTTGTTGTCCTTTAAACCCCTTTCTCTAGGGCCCCTTTTTGACACTTCTGTCTCATCAAAATTGTTGTGTTTTCAGAAGAAGCACCTTTCTCCCCTATGAGACTGAGATTCACTTTTACAGCTAAATTAGTAAAATTAAAAAAAAATTATCTTGGTGGGTGGAGGGGTGGGGCAGTTTTGCTTTCGTATAGATCTTTAAAAATGTCTCCGATGTTTACTAAATGAAGGCTTGACACGGGTCTGCAAAACATGATGTTTGGCTCAAAAATTTGATTTTTAACTTTGTCCTCCAGGTGTGGGGGGGGGGGTCCCATAGTTTTACTATTGGGACGCAAAGAATACATTTGCCGTGATACTGCATGTTGTAAGAGGTGACTAAAGGTGTAAAAAGGTCTGGTCACCCGAAAAGTGCCAATTTTGTGGAGGGCCAACTACCCTACCCAGTAAAAAACAGTTACAGAAACACGGACAAACACAGCTTATTTTACAATCTTGGGAGATTGTCAGCAGGAATAATGAAGGACAGCTGACAAAGCTGAAAGGTTTCTTCTGACCCGTAGTAACCTTCTCTGTTGAACAAATCTCTCCGGATTGCGCCGTGGAATGTTCGCACTATAAAGCAGAGAGTTCTCAAGTAGTACAACAGATGGAGTGATACAAGCTGCACATTGTAGGAGTCAGCGAAACACACTGGATACAGCCTGGACAGAAGCAGATCAGCTCGGGGGAACAAGTATAGTATTCTGGCAATTTCAAGGATGCTTTTTCTTAGTAAAGAGAGGCATATAAACTATCTTGTACAAGTAGTATAGGATCTTTAGTTATGCATGATCCTTTTGCTTGAAGTCCCTAATATGTGGACTATGGGCGACTGTTAAATTTCCACCTTCACACATCCACTTCATGCTAAAGGGTGCATCTAGTATTCGCTCAAGTCTTCAGGGTTGAAGTGAATTTTAACTCTTTTTAAAGAACTGAAACACTGTTATATTTTTTTCTCTTTCAGAGTTATATAAATATGGAAGAGGATCTGACATGTCCCGTCTGCCTGGAGCTGTACGCAGATCCTTTGATGATGCCCTGCTCACACAGTGTGTGCAAGGCCTGTCTCCTCAACATCATGAAAAGTAGGGCCAAGGCTGACAAACAAGGTGACTTTAATGAATGTTCAAACTTTGTACATGTATGTCTGTGTTTGTAGCTTTTTTTTTTTCGCCTTTTTTGTTTGATCAGGATCTGAATTTCATGGAAATGTGTATCGTCTGTTGGAACCTCAATTTGAAATTTTTTTTCAATTTACAAAATGGCAAAAAATCTATCTAGCATTGTTAATATTCAAGCTCGGGCCATCAAATATTTGTCAATGTATTGTGATGGAACTTGGACAAAATCCTATGAAGTATGTTCTTTACATGAACCCAGTATTACGCAGTCTAAGTTAACGATAAAACATCCTTTGATTAGCAAGGTATTTTTCTCAAGTGCTGTTCCGTTACACTTCGTTAAGGTGTTGGCTCTGTTGGTGAGGTTAGAATAGCACAACATTTGACTTTCAGTTGCTCCACTGACCTTGCTTCCTTTTGGTTGTCTTTAACTGCTCAGTGTTTAACATGCTGTAGATCATTTTATGTTGTCCCAGTGGCTTACTAGTGAGTCATTATACGTTTTGCACGGTTGCGACCTTGAATGGTGGAGGGTCATAACTCATCAACCACTGAGTCGGAGATGACACCTCCAATTGAATGGTTGCAAAGTTCCTTTTCTCTCATCAAATCATGTGAAATCAATAAAGTAAGTGACCATGTCGAGGAAGATATAGCAAGGTTAATTGACAAATGCCCTTCAACAAGTGTGCTCTTAAAACCTCACTATTGCGTTAGGGAGGTTTAAAGTATTGAACATGTTGCTGTGTAGGGTAGTGGGGTTCGTGCAAAGTTTATACTTCATTTTCAAGCCTTAGGAGTTTGAATCTGAGTTTGATATTTATACGCCTTGTGTTACTACTAATAAAATAACTTAAGTTAAATTGACCGTCTAAATAGATGAAAAGAGCCATACATATGAATCAAAGTATGTATCAGGAATCCTGGCGTAAAAAATTTTTTTCCCCAAAATTCGAGTTAGCAAGGTTCTATCAAAGCATCAACAATGTGTTTGTTTATTCAGTTCGTTGTTTTTTCTTGCAAGTTTCTGTTTTGTTATCAGTGGTACACTGTTGATTATGTTGAAATATAATAGATGAAATAAAATATTGATATTTAAAACCGAATTCAGTTAAGAAAGACTTATTTAGTGTGTGAATGGATCTAAAAGGTAAGCTAAAACAACTATTTTGATTCACTGAATCTCAACTCCAATAATATCATGTCATAAACACCAACAATACGGGAAGTCTGACTCTATGCAGATCTGTTCTGGTTTATAGAATAGTAATGATAATAATAATGCAGGTCATTTCTATAGCACTCACTCCCGTGTGAATACAGCTTTAGGCGCTTTACATAAATGCATGTACGAACAATATTCACACACTAGATTCTAACATCAACATTTTATATTGGACAATCTAAAGTAAATAAAAGAGATGCTGTAAACTTACTTTTTGAATTACAAGGTCTTTTCTCTTTACACTGTTTTCTTTATACATTTGTTTGTAATGTGTGTATTTTATGGTGCAATTCAAGCTTTATTATTTTGACCCGTTTATCTTCATTTCTGTATATCAAAAACTTCCATGCAGTGAAGTCGGTATTTATGGAGAGATAAAATTGCTTGAGAACATTTTTTTTCAGCAAGTTTCACACCTTTTAGTTGACATTTACTGGGAGGCTTCATATTTTTTTTTAAAAATCACTATAAAAATTTAGGTGTAGGCAGCAGCAGAGGGCCAGCGCCTTTGGACTGTGATAACTTCAGCTTCACATAATACATGATCAGAGTGTTAACTATCAGTTTGAGTATCAACTCTGTGAAAAATTAATTACAATAATTTAGAATATCAAATACCCCCCCCCCCCCCCCCCCCCCCAACACACACACACACTCTACTCACAAGGTTTTGTGATCTAGAGTTAAGAGCTCAAAAGGTATGGAAGCGCCTTTCTTTAAATTTCTTAGTCTTTTCTTTTGAGGTATGCTTTCAGTTCTGTTCGTTCTTTATATTTTTAGATCTTGAATGCCCAACCTGCAGAAACACGCACACTCTGAAGACAGACCAAGTGGAAACACTGCCTAAGAACCTAGCTTTGGAGAATATTGTCTTCCGTTATCAGGTAAACTAGTGAATGGGGGGGGGGGGGGGGGGGCTCTCATGGTCTAGAGGTTAAGATGTTCGCCTCTCATTCAATATGGTGGAATGTTCGAATGCCCTCACCCCCTCACCTCCCTTGCCCCCTCCTCTGGGCTCCCCACTCTTTCTGCAGCCTTTCTACTGCTACTCTTTGGCTCCTTTTTACTGCTGTCTTTCAGCCACACCCCTGATCTTGTGGTAGGAAAGATCTGCACCTAACCTTCTTGGACAAGGGCAAAAAATCTTGGAGATCTCGTGTGCAAGTTGCTCACGTTAAAGATCCATTGGGGGTCCAAAATCGATAGGAGTAGGCTTTGACCGCCACGCTGAGAAAATTCAAAATTTCCTACCAACTGAAAATGTTTAATGTGACCCGTGTGCTCATATGACCATATGCAGTTGCGAGCGATGTAAAACACTTACCCCCCCCCCCCCCCCAAAAAAAAGACTCTTACTTTGATAAGCTGAAATTTATCCTTGGAGTTCTATATCCTGAGTCTGTGTTGGTCTGTTCCAGCATGCTCACTGTTGTCAGTGTTTTCTGTTAGCAAGAATTTACAGTTTTCTTTTTCTCTCTGTTCCTCTTTCTTTGTCCTTGCTTTTTTCTCTTTCCTTTCTTTCTCTTTCAATTTTTCTTCTTCTTCTTCTTCTTCTTCTGCTTCTTCTTCTTCTTCTTCCTCTTCTTCTTCTTTTTCTTCTTCTTCTTCTTCTTCTTCTTCTTTTTCTTCTTCTTCTTCTTCTTCTTTTTCTTCTTCTTCTTTTTTTTCTTCTTCTCCTCCTTTTCCTCCTCCTCCTCTTCATCTCTTCCTCTTCCTTCCTTCTTTCCGCTCCTACTCCAAGTTCACCTCATCACCATCCTTATATGCTTGCACATCCTCCTTCTTTGATGTCAAAGGTAGTTGACTATAAGGTACCTTTAATATGCTGTTCAACTAATATTTTCATAGGCCTATGCCACCTGATTTCCTTCTACTCGTTATACTTCACTCTACTCTCTTCATACAAGCTGCTTAGGAATTTGTTTTCAAAAGTGGTTTTAGTTATTTATACTGACAATAGTTCTTTAGGTTTTGCTTTTGGAATAATTTAGAAGTTTGCCTAATCATCCGGCATATGAAAACTTTTTTTCTTCAACTTTGTGCTGTCAGAGTGCCTTCGATATTTGTAACATGTTCTCAGTAATTCTAATTTTATTTTTTATCTTCATCCAAGAAGGCTAGGATCTCGGTCCTGCTAACTATTGGTTCAGGTATGTGCAGTAATTTGAGAAGAAAAAAACCCAGCAAAGTTGTTCTCAGTTCATGACTGTACAATCCATTGATCAAACTAGGTAGGCTACTGTGGTATGAGAGGCAAGTGCCTTACCTGTAGACAAACTTCTTCTTACTTATCTTTAATAATCCACTGCTTCTTCTTTCCTATGGTCCTGATCTCCCCTTCATCTTTTTTATGTTTGTTACTCTCTTGTAACACCTCTAATCTTCTGGCGCTCATATGACCTTATGCAGTTGCGAACGCCGTAAAACCTCTACTAAAACTATGTAAACTAATAATCCACATATTTTGTTTCTTTCAAGGAGATTCAAAGTTTTAACATGAGCAAGGGGAGTCCGAACTTCTCTGGCTGTGCCTCGCCAACTGACGATGTGATGCTGGTTCCCGTCAGTGATGCTGACACGTCCGATGAGGTGTTTGAGAGCTCAACTGATGCTTCTGATTGTGGTATGGATTTCTTTCTTGTAGTATCTTAGATGTTTAGGAAATCTCCAATTAAGGTGTCATGGGTGGTTGGTGGGTACGCTGGTGTGGTTTGCTCCTTCTTTCCTGTAAAGCATCATCGTTATCTCTCCTTCTGTTGTGTGTATAGTATGTGACTCACTTATAACACCTCTATAATCTTCTGCATTTATATGACCTAATTGTGTTGCGAGTCAGCTAAAACTCTTACTAAAACTAATTTAAACTGTCAAGAGGATTATTGAAATGATTCTGATACTAATACAATTGTTCTCAAATCTTCTGTCTTTGAATGCGTGTTGTTCACCTCCCACTTTGTCTGATTATTTTAGACCTGTCGTTTAGCTCTCTTGACCTTTGTTGCCCCCCATTTAACTTGCCACTTCCTCTTATTCAGTATTGAAGGTTCTTGTGCCCCATGTCCTTTCTGAGTAATAATGATTTAGTCAATGCAAAATGTGGACTAATAATGAACAAGAATGGAAATAGGTTATGACCATTATGGAAGCTCTCAATCTTGTTTAACTTATGGCCACTTTTCTGATTGATACAGTTTTTCAGTTGACTGTCTTATCAAAATAAATGAAATTTAGAATAAATCTGAAACAGCAGGAAATGATCGCTCTGCACCAGCTGAGTTAAACTTCTGTCGAGATCGTGTAATTCAAAGACAGATGACTCACTTGACTTGTCTTGTTTCTCCTCATGGTCTTCAGGCATGTGCGAGGAGCCGCAGAAACAGCGTGCTGATTGGTTCTGCCAGCAGTGCCAGGTACACTACTGTCAGCAGTGTTTGGATCGCTTCCACCCACGACGGGGCACCTTGCGAGAACACAAGGTACCTCAATTTGTTTTTGTTCAAATATTTTTCCTATACTAGACTCAGAAGTTGCAGGTAATTGCGGGCCACCACTCGTACATTCTACAAGCGGATAGCTAGAGAACGACAACTTAACGCCATTGGCTGATATTTATAGTAACAGCAGTCTTGTTTGACCTCGGAAGGGGGATGCCCGCCACGTCATCTGATCGTGATTCTATAGATTTAGGCCTAGACCTAGTGATGATTTTGCGTAGTGCGCTGGCAGTTTCCAAGCGTTCCTCTTTGAGTCTTTACTAGTGGTTCCCCTTAGTCCTAGTATACTGCTTTTGCACCTCACAGTATCCATTTGCAAACCTTGCAGTCTCGAATTAGATCTACTCCATTTGCAGCTCGGCGTCCTATTGAGTCCAATCTCTTGTGAATGCTTAATTTCCTGCCATCGTGTGGTCGTGTTGCTACTGTGACTGACAAAGTGGGAATCCCTCAATGACGTCAAACAAGATGGCTGTTACTATAAATATTGGTTAATGGCATTTAGTTCTCTAGCTATCCGCTTGTGTCCATTTTACTTCTTTTCTTTCTCTCTGCTGTTTCTGTCTGCCTGTCTTACTCTTTCCCCATACTAAATAAATGTTGTAATGTGGATGTGCTTCTCCTTACTCAAACAAACAGACTCAAGACAGGATTTGATCATTGTCACTTGTCAGATCGACTGTCAGACACAGAATAAGTCATTTCAAAAGCAAGAGACCCTCTTTGTACCTCAAAAAAAGAATCTCCTTTCTCAGCTCGTGCCTTTTTTTTTCAAAGTTATTGCTATCAGAGACGTTAACTTAGTCTTGTAATGTTATTTAGGTTGACGGCTCACGTCTGTACTCTGATACTATAAATGTGTCTGAAGAATATAATATTCTTCTCAGTTTTTCTCCGTCATACCTGATGTGTTTGTCTAATGTGACTTTACGTTCTTCTCTTTTTTTGATTATTTCTTAATAGGTGGTGATAGGTGCCTCCTATAACACCAAGCTCTTCACTATTTATGTGTAAAGTGGTTTGGTTAATTACCTTCATCACAAAAGATGTGATTCCCAAGTGTAGAAGATATTTCATGTAGTATCTCCATCTTTCCCATGGACATGGATTCTTTATAGTTTGGGCTGGTCTTAACAACCAGGGTTGAATTATCCCGCTTCCTGAATGTTGTAAACTGTGATGATAGGGGCATAAAATACTTACCATCTGTCATGAAATATTTACCATCTATGACAAAACAAACACTATCTACCATGAAACATTTACAATGTATCACAAAACAAACACTATCTACCATGAAACATTTACTGTCTATGACAAAATAAACATTATCTACCATGAAACATTTACCGTCCATGACAAAATAAACATTATCTACCATGAAACATTTACCGTCCATGACAAAATAAACATTATCTACCATGAAACATTTACCGTCTATGGCAAAATACACTATCTACCATGGAACATTTACCGTCTATGGCAAAATACACGATCTACCCTGAAACATTTATCGCCTATGGCAAAATACACTATCTACCCTGAAACATTTATCGTCTATGACAAAATAAACACTATCTAGATCTACCATGAAACATTTACCGTCTATGGCAAAATACACTATCTACCATGGAACATTTACCGTCTATGGCAAAATAAACACTATCTACCATGAAACATTTATCGTCTATGGCAAAATAAACACTTTCTACCATGAAACATTTATCGTCTATGGCAAAATAAACACTATCTACCATGAAACGTTTACTATCTACCATGAAACATTCGCTATCTACCTTAAAACTTTAACCATTTTTTACTTTGTTCTAGGTGTGCAAGTCGGTGCCGACACCTGCCTCTGGGGGCTGTGCCCTCTGGTGCCATGACCACCCCCAGGAGAAGGCTCACATCTTTTGCGACTCGTGTAAGACAGTCGCCTGCCACTTGTGTGTCTGCCAGGGTCAGGGAGCTCACTGTGGTCATGTGATCTTGGACATCGCCACCGCCAAGAGGCAGTTGCAGGTGGGATGTGTGCATGCTTGTCACTACAAACGTTAGCCAAAAAAAACCCAACTAACAAAATTATATATATTGTGTATATTATTTGGAGTTTTTTTTAGCTTGATCTATTATTTGGCTTGTTCCATTTTGTCCATCAATAGTATTGTCATAAAAAAGGGCCTTACTAACTCTCTGATGACACTTATAGTGTAGGTTTACAGGGAAAGAATGAAAATAGTTCATAAAACCTTACGAAAGAAAGGCAGTTGTCTACAATTATTTTTCTTCAAACTTGGTTGTCTGCCCTTTTTCTCATGATTCCCTTGTAATCTTCATTATGGAGTTGTTTATTAATGTGTCTGAGGCAATGAAGGAATGTGTGGATCTGAAATAAAGTTTGTCATTTTCAGCATAGAAAATATACTAGAATTTCATGTTAAAAAGGCGAAATATAAGTCAGGATCTCAGAAAACTGACATGTCTGAGTAAACAAAAAATTATTGATTAGGTTATGCTCATAATTCACTGCATAAAAAAGAATTAATTATGAATTAGATTCGCTTTTCAAGTGTTCATTAATTTTTTTTTTAAAGTCAGGATGTAAATGATTTGCAACTAGTTTACTTGAACTGATAATCCACCAACCCCAAACATATGTATCTATTAATTTGATAGTGCCTGCACTCAGCCATGACAATTTTTAGGGCATGTTCTTGCGGTTGATATTAACTAAGAAGTGGCACTCAATTTTGTTTCATTTGTTGGTTAAGGTTGGTCTGTGCATTTACTACATTTGATTTTGATGTTAATTTCAGGATGTTTTGAAAAATGCAAGGGAGGAACTGGGCACTTTAGCGTCTTCATTTCAAGAGAAGGAGTGTGAGATTGCCTCTCAGTTAAAGAACTTGAAGGTAACATTATCCTAGAGTAGGTTCATGATCTGACTTGTTTTCCTTGTTTGCCTTGCTCAGAAATGAATTCTGGTAAAATATTACATTTGATGCTGTAGGTTAGTCTTGCAAGGCAAAGATTAAAATTCTCAATAAAAAATAAATCAAACTTGAGTTTTAAGTCTTGCATTTCTTTCAATTGAAGACTCATTGACTTAAGGATAGATTTTGGGATAAACCTTTTTATTGGGTAAGTGTGTTTGGGGGGGGGAAGGCTTTCTCTCCTTTTATAAAGTATGAGCTAGAAGATCAGATGTACCTGCCAAGGGATTTCTGCAATAGTTTAATGAGTGTTGTTGTCAGTATGATATATGCTGTACAGCTATGCTCTGTGCTGTTTTATTTCTCAAATGAATGCTGCTTTTCCTGCAAGGAGTCCTTATATGTGTCATGTTGAATGTAAAAGATACATTTCTTTCTTGATACTTCTGTTAGCAACCCATTTCATTTCTAGCTTAAAGAAGAGTTTGTCTATATCATATGTTCTTTAATCCTATATTTTTCTGCTGAGTTTTCGTTGACAGTTTGGGTGGTTGGCAGGTGCTCTGGTGTGGTTTGCTTCTTCTTTCCTATCAAACGTCTATAGTCCTTTTCTCCCCTTCTTCTTTTTTATGTTTGTTACTCTCTTGTAACACCTCTAATCTTCTGGCGCTCATATGACCTTATGCAGTTGCGAGCGCCGCAAAACCCTCCACTAAAACTAATCAATGACAGTCATATGAATTTAATTTACTCAATAGCTTTGTTTCATACTGCTGGTGAAAATGGCATTTCAATTGATAGTAGTCTGCCCTAGCTGGATTCTGGACAGAGCTTCTAGTTTATGTAAATATTGTAAAACATTATGTTAGCCTGGTCCATCCTCAAATACGGGCCTAGACGTTTAGTTGAACTTCCAAGGTCTCACCCTTTTCGTTGTAAATTCTTGTTCCCAGGTCCTCCAGGAGACGTCCAGGACTCAGATCAGCAGCCAGTACAGCTGCATGCTGGCCGACATTGTGTCTGTTCTGGACTCCCTGAAACAACGAGCCCTACAGAAAATTGATGGTGTTGTACTACAGCACTTCAACATCCTGTCAGCAGAGAGTCAGAGTTTACGCTCAGCACTGGCTCAGTGTCAGGGTCTTGTTTCTGCCTGTGATTCTCTGGTTGCCGATCAGGTGAAAAAGCAGAGGAAGGAAGTAGGTTTGAGTGTAATGCATGGGACAGAGAGCAGCGATGTCTTGATGGTGGAGGCTCACCTTCATGATGACTTGAGTTTTTCATCAGGGGATGGGAATTTCGACTCCGGCATCGTTTCTGAAGTGACCCCCAAATCAAAATCTTCAGAACGAGGTAGTCCTGTGTCTCTGGCTGAGAGGTCTGGAGGCAAACGTAGAAGTGGTGTCGATATAGACAAGACCCCTAGACGACCGATTCAGGAAACGGAAAAACCTCTTGATAACGCTAATGTGATGCAGGACCAAAATGCTAACCCATGTAAAAATGAGATCACTGAGAGGGAAAAGAACAGACACACCAGCGTACCGAGTGACACGCGCAGAATTATCCATTCCAGGGATCGCTCTCTCCCAACTCCTCGCCCACTGTCTGCCAATATAGAGGGCAACAAAAGGTTGTCCAATCCAGATTGTGTGAACCTCTACACACGGTCTCTTTCTGAAAAGTCAAGCGTTGGCAAAAATGACTTGAAAAAGTTGGATATGGTGTCAGGGTCAAGAAGTGTTCCTGAAGATCCTCTCGCTGAAAAAGGAGCCTTAGAGAGCGCTTTGAATGAGAGGAAAATCAGTGAGGGGAGTAAAGGCTTGCGCAGATTTAGAGAAAGAGGGAGCAGCATGCAGAATCTGCTGGGCTCTCAAGAGAGGCTGCTTGATGGTGGGTCGGATAGGGGAGACAGTCCTAGACGTATCAAGGATCAAGGGAGGGTATCTCAGAGTGTGGAGAACTCGTTGCTTCTCCGAGCTGAGGAAGTTGGCCCAATATTGGAGCAGGTGGCAGTCCTCTGCAAAGAGTGAGTTTTTCTTTCAAGATGTTGAGGTTGCGCTGTCTGTGTGAATTGTTTCTTCCATCAGTAAGTTAGGTTGTTTCTTTTCTTACTTGTTCATAGTTTTTATCATGACTTCCCACTTACAAGAAGTAATTATATTGCCAACAGTTTGTATTTTAAAAACTGACTGTGTCTGTTTATTTCCATTTTGCAACCTTAGCTTTAACTTTTATGGGATACTTCCTTAGTAGGTCTTTTCTCTGAAATGACCAGGCTTTTTGAATGGAGAAGGTATGTCTAACTTGTCTTTTGGATTTTGAATCTAAACCAACCGAGCTGTTTGAACTTGCAGCTCATGTCTAACGTGCCTTTTGGAAAGGTTATGTCTGATAGATCTAGCAATTTGAATTGGGACTTATATCTAACACAAGCTCAATTCTGCTGAGGGTAGTCAGGCTGTTGAGGGTAGTCAGGGTAGTCAGGCTTTGGAGGGACAGTGTTGGCATCCATGATGCATAGTGTTAAAGCATCATTTATATATAAAGGATATCCTGATAAGATTTCAAATGAAGCAATTTGTTCACTTTGTCAAGTCTAGAAAGTAACCGTAACTAAGACCCTGTTCATAGGGGCCACCTGTCTATAACGACCTCTCTTCGTCTGTGATCTTAAGTGACTGTTATAGACAGGTTCAGGGGGCTCTCGTGGTCGAGAGGTTACAGTATTCGCCTCTCTTTCAATAGGTCCTAGGTTCGAATCCAGAAAGCATTGGAAAATGTTCTTCTCTAAAATTTTCTCCTTTCACTTCCTTTCCTGCTCTCTAACAATGTGACTCTTTCTGCAGCCTTTCTACTGCATTCCATGGCTCCGTCTTACTGCTGTCTTTCAACTACACACCTGATCTTATGGTGGGTAAGATCTAACACCTAGGCTACTCGGATAAGGGTGAAAAATCTCGGAGGTGCTCAAGTTGCGCCCGTTAAAGATCCCTTTGTGGTCTAAAATTGATTAGAGTAGGCTTCAGCCGCCACTCGGGCAAAATTCAAAATTTTCTTCAAAATGAAATTGTTTAATGTGTCGCGTGTACACATATGACTGTATGCAGTTGCGATTACAGTTAAACACTAAGCAAACAAAACAAAAAAAAGACAAGTTCAACTGTATGTATGTTGTAAGTATACTTATCCACTGTCAGCATCTGTGGGAAAAAAGTCTGTTTGGGTATCTTTTTCATTTGAAACTCTTTTTATTCGGGAACAGGACTCCATTCCACAACTTGTGCAAGTCGGAGAGCCGTGTTGTCAATGTCAGTGTCAGCAAAGCTGTGACATCGAGCATCTCAGACTTTCAGAGTCAGGCTCTGTCTGTGATATGTAGCCTGTCAGGTGAGGAACTCTTGTCCTCAGAAATGATTGCTGTACTTGTTTTTGTTGTGTTTATTTATTGTTGTTGGTGTTGTTGTTATTGCACAATCTTTGTTATATTCCCCCCGGGGCGGTGCCACTGACTGTAGTGTCTTTAGGCCATTCCCAAAGGGGGGACATTTCTCGTTTAAGAACAGCAGAATATTGTAAATGGGCTGATTCATGTCACGCTCATAACTGTGCATGATCTACAACAGGGAACTGCTGCTTCTTCTTTCCTAATCCTTACTATTGTCATTTTCCTCTACTTCTTTTGTATGTTTGTCACACTCTTGCGACCTGCTATTTTTGGGGTGGCTTTATAGTCGAAACAGACCTTGTGGTGTTGAAGCTAGAGAGGTGAGCAGAGTAAGTCTGATTCCCTGTAAAGATTTCTCTGTTGACACCCACCACTTGGCGCTCATATGACCCTATGCAGTTGCGAGCACCGTAAAACGCTCTACTATGAAATCTTTGTTATTGCAGCTGTTGTCTTACTTTCTGATGTAGTTGTTATTGCTGTGCCTTTTGTCTTTGCTGTAGTTATTGCTATTAGTGTAACTGCTGTTGTGGTTGTTGAAAAAGTCTAACTGTTCTCATTATCAATGTAGCTGTCCTTCCAGTTGTACTCTGGCTTGTTCCTTGGGCATATTGTCATGTTGTAGAAAGTAGTGGTGGTGTCTCTGTTAATCACATCTATATCTATTGCTGTAGAGTGTACCGCCTCTGCTATAAAAGTAAAACGGATGTTTTATAGATCTGTATGTCTGTGGGTGGTTGGCGGGTGCTCTGGTGTAGTTTGCTCCTTCTTTCCTATCAAACATCTATCGTCCTTATCTCTCCTCTTTCTTCTTTATGTTTGTTACTCTCTTGTAACACCTCTTTTCTTGGGCACTTATATGACCGTATTGTGTTGCAAGTTCCGTAAAACTCTTACTAAAACTAAAAGACCCGTATGTCTTCTGTTTTGAGGCTCTGGTGGCCCTAGATATAATCTTTCTTGAGTAGCTGAATCCATATTTTCCACCTTTGTTGTGCTTTGACGCATTCTGTATGGCACACGCTGCTTCTGTGCTGGTTATCAACCGTTTTGTATTGGTTTGTACACAGGAGAAACTTGTACTGGTGCTGACGCTATCACACCGGCGGTACGTTCAGTTGTGTCCCCTGCTGCTGCTGGGGGGCAGGCAGGTGCTCGGCGTGTCCAGAGTCGTACGCTGATCACATGGGGTTTCAACTCCACAACTTTCTCGGCCGATCCAGTCAGCGGCAATGCCCAGTGGTCAGTGAGTGTCCACAGGAACACTAGCCACATTGGTGACATTCGCAGTGGATATCTGTTTGGGCTCGGGGTGTCCAGCAAATGTCTCGGCAGTAAAGATCAGGTAAATGTGCTGTTGCTGTACGTATATTTGTTTGTATTTGTTTACTTCAGGTCTTTTATTGTTTAATCATTTTGGACATTTTGGAGAAAGCAACGGAGCATCAATGGACTTGTCCGGAGTGCATGGATATTGCTTCCTGAAACAATGAACATTGAACAAAATATTGTTTACTCAAAAACACACCTCACTTTTATTAACTGTTTAAACCACACTGAACAGTAAGATTATCCAGTGGTAATGACCTTGTTTCTCATCTGACGCAGGGAGCATCCAATACTAGTGACTATTGTTTCTTATACGATACCGTTGTGCAAGGTTTTAAAAACGTAAACTGACTCTAGATGAGGAATCTCATTTGCTAGAAAAAATTCAAGTTGAAGAATTGAAAAGCATTCAATTTACAGATGATGGGGAGGACTCTCGCTTCAGTGGTGATGGTGATAGCAGTGAGAGTGATGTGGAACTAGAGCTAGATTGAGAATCAGAAAGTGTCAGTTTAGTAGTAAACCAGCATCAGGAGCAAGTAGACCTGTAAATTGTTTTCCCCTATAATTTGTTTAATCTTATTGCCAATTCATTTTTGTTCAGTTTGATGTCTAACAATTATGTGTTTTCATTGATTACTGCTGTGATGAGGCAAGGTGTACCAGGTTAAGGTGACTGAAAAAAACTCATACTTTAAAGAGTTAACCCCCTTGGAGTGGTTGAGTGGTCGCTGAGTTCAGGCTGAAAGTAATGTTAACATTTGTATCGGTGACATAGTATTCAGATGGATGGTCACTAGTCTGTGTTCTTGAGCAAGAGATGATACCCTTTGCAAAAAAAGAAATAAAGTGTTGTAAAGTGGCGGTCAAATATTAGGTGAAGGTTGTCTTTTTTGTTAGCCAGGTTTGTTCATTTTTCATGAGACGTGCCTACCTGCTTTAAACTGTGCTAGGTTTTAATTGTTTATTGCTTCTGATCGTCTTTGAATGGGAGTAAACCTTTTCCTTTCTAGCAAAGAAATTAAATAAATTATACTGTATTGGTCCTTTCTGGGACATAAGCTTTTTCACAGCACCACACCAAAGCACAAGCTCACAGATTACACATGAGCACACACTCATACACACACAGACATACACACAGACACTGTGAGATCTCTTTCTCTCACTCTCTCATATTGCTTTGTACATTAAATGTTGATTTTGTGCAGTACTTGTCTGTAGCTTTTACCACATACTGCTCACAATCAACATAAGAGTGATAATGGCTTCCAATGACTCTTTTGTTCTGTGTCTGTTCCCAGGTCGGGATGAACCCGCACTCTTACGGTGTCATCTGCACCAAAGGCAATCTGGCCTTCAGCCATAACAGTCATGTGACCCCGATTGCGGCGCTGACTGACCTCCCAGTGACCGTCACATTATCCGTACATCGTGGTTCCCACGGCTGTCTCTTGCTTTACAGAATCTCCCAGAGCTCAGCCTCCAGTGACATCTGTGGCCGTCGTATCATTATGCAGGCGGATGACAAGGGAGAGAAGTACTGCGAGAATGTGGAGGATCTGGAACTTTACCCAGTGTTCACCGTTAGTCAGAGGGTCAAGATGCAGTTTCCTTTGACTTCTGACATTTGAAAAACTTTGGTTTCGATTATACTCTGTGACTTGATTTGTTATTTCTACAGTACATTTCCTTTTCGTTTCTTGGCCAATAGCACACAGCACCCCTTTTACCTTCTAGAAACCTGTTGTATGCTGCTAGTATGGCCTCAGACTTGCTGACTGAAAGCATTTTTAACAGGGCATTACTTTTGAAATTTATGGCTTTGGTACCTTGAAAAATGTAGTAAAATAAGTTGTGACTGAATGCCAAAAGACCAGTTTTGGACGAAGTGTGCAAAATAATCTCTCAAACTCCATTCTGGATATCTACCTGTAGAGTGAAATGAAACAAGAACTCCTGCTATTTTGTTTACAGTTTGGATCCCTCTGCTGTAGTCAAATTGTTTTTGATTTGGCTTGGTGTGTCTGGGAAGATTTTTATTTCGTAATTAGTGTCACGACGCGGTGGAATCAGGTGCTCGTCAATTTTGGGTCATTTTTAACTACTGGTATCCTTTTAACCCCTTCAATGCCTCAGGTAAATAGGCCCCTGTTCCAGGGGAAATCCCATGAACCAAGGCTGCTCAGGTTGACCCGACTCTACCTCCTATAAATATTTCCTCATGAATTTCTGCATGTACATTAAACATTGAACCACATTTCTATTGATATAATTTTTTTGGGATTTCATTGAGAGATGGAGAAAAGTTGGAGTTAGTAACATGATGCCAAAAACAACTCCGCCAAACTACATAAACAACGCACATTCGAGTAATGATAAACTGAGACAGAAAAAAGGGAAAACATGTTATGTGAGTGTTTGAAGGTAAAGAGGAAGTGACAAGAGGCTTTTCCTACCTTACACAACGCTTGTACAATCCATATATATATATATAATCAACATTTTTCTGTACAATCCACACAGAAATATGTTCTTTTAAGGGCATGAAAGGTGTTGAGCCAAAAAAAAAAAGTTTGATAAAAGTTCCCAAACCTGGGGGTTTCTTGACTTTCAATATTTTGATGAGTGCCTGATTTCACCACGCTGTCTCACATTTTTTTCTTTTTACCTCAGTGAAACTTGAGATTTTAATTCGTATGATCACAAGCTTAACATTCTTTATTTATAAATTTTTTAATAACTTTGTCTTGCCGGTTGAATTTTAAGAATACATTTTGGAGCATTAAAAAGAAATAACTACATTTGTTTTTATAAAATGGGTGTTTTTGAATCTTGCCTTCTAGGCTCTCTGATGGCTCTCTGTAAACTTTTGTTTTCCTGCACATTTTTACACGAAACATTTTCAATGTTCCCTTCTCAAAGTTGATGATGCTGCTTACCCATGGGAACAGCTGCTTCTTTTTGGTGCATTTTAATTTTAATGGCACTCTTGTATATATTTAAGAATGAATGATTGTTTGGTTAAACACAATTTCGTCTGTTGCTTTTGTTATCTATTTTACAATCCTTTTTCATGGGTGTAATTTTTTACAGATGTATTGGATAGTTGGTACTACAGTCACCTATATTGTTTACAAGCATATTGGATTGATGATGCTAGTGTCAGTGAAACTTACATTTGCCTCTTGATCCTTCACGGGCCGAGGGAAGTAAATAGTCAACTGTCCCATTGACGGGGGCACAGATTCCCCTCTGATGGGGTGCGACTCATATAAGCCACCTCCTTTTTTTTTTTTTTTTAGATGTGACATCTATTCTCCATTCTTTCTCTGGGTACTTCTAGGTTGTCTGCTTGCTTGACCAAGGGTCCTGTTGGGCTTACAATACGTACCACTCACCCCACAGTATAAGGTCTGTCTACAAAATGACTTGTCAGTGTCTAGTTTGGCTGTAAATGCTCATGAAAATGAAAATCTTTACTTTTTCTGTTAGAGTAGATAAAGAAGGGAAGAGGTTGATGACCTTCTTTCTCTCTCGAATGTTACATGGGATCCTCCGAGTTCTTTGTGTTTGTGTGTTTGTTACTCTTAGACATTGCATTAACCCCTTTGTGATGCAGGGGCAATTTGAGCTTCACTGAGTAGTTTTGTAACCCTCATGATGAAAATTAGCGCTTGATTTAGTGCGCTTGTGTGTTGGGAGGTTGGAGGGGGGGGGGGAATGGATTGCCTGTCACTGTCAGATCTCGTCTGTAAATATGACTGTCTTTTTAAAAAATGTTTGCAAAAAGTATCACCTGATTTGAATCTGTAATTAGTTTTGCAAAGGGTGTCTAATAGAAACATTATGCTGAATCCAAATTGTATCGACCAGCAATTGTCATTATGATCCTCATCCTACACAAGGCATGACAAATGCCATTCATCACAGCGGCATTTTACCTCCTTTGCCAGGTAAGAAAAATGACGAATGGCGCTGGTCATATAGGTCAAGAAAGGGTTAAGTTTTTGCTTCATGTCGGCAGTCACAGGGCTTGATCCCACATTGCCAAGAAAACAGAACAAAAAATTTTAATAAGCTATGAAAGTTGTGAAATTCTTTTTCATTACTGTATGATTGCCAAACAGTTGTGAGGAATTTGCTTTTGTTTTATTGATATGTTGAGTGTACTCATATCTATGGGGACTTTTACTTTTTTCCCTCTGTTTTGTTCTTTTATGATGAAAATTCTGTCATTGATTTATTGTGATAACTATGTATAGTCTTGCAAGTTGTGTACATTTGTTTTGAAGTATGATATTGCAGTGAGGAAATATGTTGTTTGGTTTTGGTTTTTTGTTATAAATGGAGATCTGAATATATGCAACTGTTTTGCTTAGAGTTTGGGGTTTCTTGTCAAGAGCAAGTGTTGTCTGCTTGAAATATTTTGATCTGTACACATTATTTACTGAGTTTGAAACCACTGTCTAGTTTTTTATTCATATGAATAATGATTGAGCTCTATCTCAAGCTTCGAATTCTGTCTGTCTGTTATTTTAGCGGTCTCTGGTCTGTGTGTGTCTTTCCTTTGTTGCTCTGCGTGTCAGTCTGTGTGTGTCTTTCTGCTTTTTTTTTCCTCCTATTTATTTCTTGTTTATTGTTACTTCTCAAAGATGCTAAAACACCACTTTTAGCTAAAGGGCTGTTTTTTGTTGGAGTATCATTTTTAAAAAAAAAGATAATTGAAACATATCATCTCTTTGTACATGGTGACTTTGGTTTTATTACAAGTTGTACTTTCATGGAGTCCATCCAATCTAGTGATTTTTAAAATATCTACAAACTGTGTAATCTCGGGGGGGGGGGGGGGGGGTTGTTTTGTTTTATTTATTTGAGTGAAGAGTCAATTTTATCATGTATTCTGGTGCTATTTGCAGTGCTACCTTGTATTCTCTACCAACGCAAATGATGGTAAAAGTTCCAAACCTTTGAGATTTATCTTGTAAGGGGGTATAAGTATAATGTGATGTTCTGTTAAAAAATTTATGTTGAATACATTTGCCCCTAGTGTAACATTATCTGAGGGTATATTTATACGGTTGTGCACAATCCCACTCTTATCTGGGATGTTTCCCTCATGTCTGATATTCTGTCCAGGGACCAAATATTCAGGTTGCCAACTGACCTGAATTTCTCGGGACTGTCCCGGATTCAGCAGTTGGGAACTTAAGAGATTTTAGTCCACTACTCCAAAATCTGCCCCACTTGATGTGATTTTGTTTTTTGTTACATGATCAGATGTTATAACATTAGGTGTCCCTGATTGAGTTTTAAAAAAGTAGGAAAGCCTGAAGTATCTCTCCTTTGAAATGATTTATAATACGACTTAGTTTTCATTTCAACTTTGACCGAGATACCCTTTCGAGAAAACCCACAATTTCTTATTGTCCTTGTTAAGGCCAGTTATAAGATTTGAGGTTGTCTTTCAATTTGTTTAGAATATTACATGTCCTTTTGAGATGCTAAGAATAGTCTTGTGTGTTCTGCTTGTGGTTCAGGTATGGCTTTGCTTTTAGGTGAGTGGGCAGTTTGATGACAGTCTGTCGTATCAGATGCATGTATTTATCAGCCAAAAATGTGAGGCATCATGGTGAAATCAGGCACTCGTCAAATTAATAAAATCAGAAAAACTGCCATATTTCTCATGAGTTTGGCAATTTTTTTTTTGGGCTTAACACTTTTAATGCTGATTTAAAAACACATTTCTGTGTAGAATTAACTGGAAAACATGTTGATAAAAGGCTCAATAAATGTTTATTTTCAGTTTCCATGTTCACCAAACTTAGGCAGCCATTTTCTTGCTAATTATTCCCTGAAATCAGGCGACCCCCCTCCTCTTTCAATCGCAAATATCTCGACTTCTATTCGTATAGATGGGCACTTTTTTCATCAAAAGCAAGAAAAATTAACAAGCTTTAGGATGATATAAATAACTACACTTGCCCTAAAATTGACGAGCGCCTTATTCCACCTCATCGTGACAGAAATATGGATGAATAACTGTTGCTCCATAAGATGCCACAAAGTTCTGTTTCCCGTTTCTGTAAATTCTGAAATTTTGAATGTTCCACACTTTTTTCTTATACATACCGTCAAAATTGTGGAGAAAGGTGGTTGTCTAAGACAGGCAGATGTCTTGCACAGTGTCATTATGATGTAGAAAAAATCCAAGGAGGGAAGAGGAAAGCGGTCGTTTGTACAGGTAACTGTTTTAGACAGGTGGCTTTTAGAGCAGGTTCGACTGTATATGTTTATATATGTAAAGAGGCAGAAACAGATCTTTAGCTGCTGGTTTTATAAATAAATCATTGTATCATTCAATATCAGCTCTTCTTTTTTAATAAAAAAAGGCAGAAACCACACCCTTAGTAACCAGCTGTATAAATAATCCATGCCACACAGAGTCTGCTACTGCTTGTCTTGGGTATACAGTGTGAAAAGTTATTTTTTCCTCAGGTTTTTAAAATGAATTTTACAGCTTTATTATAACACTACATTCAGTTGCTAAGGTCCATGTTTATTCTTATATATGTATACACTTGTTTTTGCAGTTAATTGGTTGCTTATACTTTTTGTCACCATCAGTTTTTCTTTCTGATCTTGTTATGGGGAAATTTTCCCCTGTACCCAAACACCTCAAAAGTTTATTTTTTTCACTCACATGCCAAACTTTCTTCGGATTGAAAAAGCTTTGACTTACATATTGAGAACTGTTGCGTTGAGCTGAGTATTGTAATTCGTTAAAGTCAACTGGACTGTTAGATCGGTCTGGGATTTGTGAATACATTTATTATGTCAGTAAATATATGCAGATTTATGGTTGTGATTGCTGGGTGTGAGGGACAAGGGTGGGGCTACAAAGGAACTTCGACTTTTGACGTTTCCTATGTTCTCTGTGCACAGTTTACCTACCATTTTTTTTTCTTTTCACACTATTGGCCTATACAGTCACACCTGTCCAAGACGACCACCCATTAGCGAAGAGAAAAGTGGTCATGTTAAACTTTTGATCCTGTGACCAGACCATCAATGATTTATTTATAGAGGCACCAGCCATCCATGTCCAGGTGCTGTTTTAGCCGAATTTTGATCCTGTGATCCTCCTGGGCGCTGTCATTATAGAAGAAATTACAAGGGGGATGTGGTCGTTTGTACAGGTGATTGTCCTGGACAGGTGGTCGTTAGAGCAGGTTTGACTATACTTTGGCTGGTATAGACGTGTGTACACCTGTACATATCCTTCAAGTCTTTCACACAGTTTTTCCTTTGATTGCAAAGAAAAGAAATGATTGGTCAAATACAGTGGAGTCCTTTTTCAATAAATAAAACCACAAGAAAAAAGTGCTCTCTTTAGGTAAATGATTGCTTTAATTTTGATTTCATTGAAGTTATTTAATTTGAATAATATACCTTATACTAGAGTAATGGACTTTTGTGAAATTAGACACATGTGTTGAAACTTGGTGTATCATTTAAAAAAATCAAATGCTCAGATGCTCGGTAATGCCAGTTAAATAAACCAATCTATTTTG